AAAGAGAATGACCTCAAGCTGAACCAGAGGAGGGTCAGGTTGGATGTTAGAAAGAACTTCTTCTCAGAAAGAGTGGTGATGCAGTGGCACAGGCTGCCCAGGGAGGTGGTGCAGTCACCATCCCTGGAGGTGTTCCAGAACTGTGTGGATGTGGCTCTAAGGGACATGGTCAGTGGGCATGGTGGGGGGGGGGAGAGGGGGGGGCTAGATTAGATGATCTTAGTGATCTTTTCCAATCTTAACAATTCTATGATTCTGTACTACATACTCACAGCTGTGCAAGTGCAGAAGTGTTTGCAGGACTGGACCATCAAGAGAACAAATGAAGGGATGAATTACACATAGTAATGACACAGGCATGTCCTGACACTGCCTGAGCTGCAGTGCGAAACCTGGAAACATTCAGCACCCTTGGGCTCTGCCACCACCTGAAACCAATGGAAGAAGTGAGAGCAGCAATGGAAAATTTTTTTGTACTTCCTCAGTAGAAATCACTAGCATGGCTTTGGGTGCCACTTCGACTTTCTGTCACAGGTTCAAAGACATAATGTATTCTATCTTGAAAAAAATCCACCACAGATCGGAAATCTGTACTTTTAAATAAATAACAGTGGAATAGCACAACACAAAAGACTTAACATTGGATTATTCAAAGGAAAACATTTTTGTGCCACAGGAAAAAAAGTTGGAATCATGCACATAAATTTGGAGTACTTGGAGTTTTCTATTAATAAAACAGGATTTTTATAAATCATACAGGAAACATTAACAGCTCTCAAGTAGGACACTGCTCATACTCCCAAGGCAATTATGTAATTAGTCTTTTTTAGACAGAATGTTATGTCACACAATACTGGTATTGAACAGTCTCTAGAGCAAGTCAGTATTCAGATAATACATAATTTTATATTGGTCTGGATAGTCTAGTGAACCATTAGAATTTCTTAGTGTGAAAGCTTCCTATCAGATCTAGCAGTATTAATCTCATGTTAAATTACTTAAATCCTGAAGCATTCAGTAGCAAACACTAGACTTACTTTAGCATTTGATCTCCATTGGCTTAAGCCAACAACAAAATAATAGGTTCAACTCGTCACCTGCCTGTGCTCTCCTGCCTGCTCATTCCCAAGAGGAGCTTCTGCACTGTACCACTGTAAATGATATTTAGTTATCTGCTAAGTGGCTTTACATTTATTTTTATTCTTCCTTAAGAATATATATGTATCTATCTCCATAGAAGACTTGTAACACTTTGAAATTATAGGGCTAAGTCATGGAGACTGTTAAAAGACATCACAGCAATTAATCAATGTGTATAAAGAGATAAACTGGTACCTAGATTGCAGAAAACAAAGAATATTTGCAGTACTTCCACAGACAAAGCCACTTTCACATGATAGGCAGAAAAATCAAAATGTGACATCGGTGTTGTTTTACAATTGCAGTAATACGCAAATCCTACACAAGAAGGAAAGCAAACATATTGACTCATCACAGAGCTGTTGCTTAAGAAAGACAGAATTGCATCATCAATGTGCTCAGCCACCGAAGTCATTGATTTTACAGATAATAATCACTGCATCCATCTGCTCTGTGGCTGTGCATTTTAGCCAACAAGTTTCCATGTCTCTTTCCTTTCTATTTCCTAATCTTGCTTCTAATCAGCATGTCTGAAATTATTTGAGCTTCCACACATATGAATTACGTTATCATGTATTTCTTAAAGGCTTTACGAGGCAGAGAAAGAGGTAGACACACTGAGGGAAAGGAAAAACAAGTTCTTCAGAAGCAAGTTCTCAAATAGAAGGAATAAATATTGACTACTATCATGGCTTTAGTGCTATTTATTATCTGATATCCTCATAAATCCTTCTTCCTTACCAAGGCAGGGCAAAAGACTAACTGATGAGTTACCTATAGTGTCTCAAAGAACACACTCCGTCTGCAGACAGAACTGCCACAGTCATCCTTGGTCAAAGGAGAACAAAACAATGTCTTCCTCTATTAATTTGTTCACCTTCTCACTACTGCTGTTCCATAAATTATGAAATTATTCAAGATTTAACACACACATAAGAAAAAAAAAACAACTAAGGGAGAAGCAAGCTTTTTAAAAGTTCTAATAGAAAACTGTTACAATTTACCTGTATATGAACATTTTACACCCATAAATGCAAACCAAAGAATTCAGAGAAGTGAAAACAAGAAATAGGCTTACAATTTATGGACTGCAATTTCCAACAATCGAGTCCAAATCATCACCTCTAGTTTGTGCATATGTTTGCACAAATATTATGCACTTGACTGAAAAGTGATGCAAAAAGATGGTCCAGGGGCATCTCAGAGGATCTTACAGATGTTCTAAACATTTCTAGAACACAGTGAGAGTGACCACAGTCTCCTCGCCTTCTGGCTTGTCAGGATCCCACTCCCCCCACACCCAAACACATGCAGTCAGCCACAGCCTGGATACAGCTCTCAAACTATGAAAAAGAACACTGCCATCATTCTCCTGTACCTGTGTCAATACAATGAGAAGACAAATTACGGTAAGATTGATCAAACATCCTTTAATATACAGAAATCAAATTTTAATCCAGTTGTCCAATGAGATCAGACCATGCTAATAAGCATGCAAAATTACATTAAAAGGAATTTGTATCATGAGGAAAGAGAGACCATCCTTGTGTGTGTGGCACTGTAATGACATCACCACTTCTACCTGCAGGAGTAGAAGGGCAGGAGTATTGGGAAATAAACTGACTGGGAAAGAAGCAGCTCACACTCATCTCACCTTGGTCAACTCAGCTTCTCTAAGGACAGCTCTACCCTGAGGTATCCTCAGGCACACCACTCAAGTCAAATTTCAGTATTTTCTATTAGTAATGGTAAAATATTACCAGAATCAGTATAACTACAAAAGACAAACTTCACTCCAAAACACAGTGATAATTTCAGCAGCTTTTTCTGGATTCTGTGTATTTTATTACAGGCATGTGGCAGGTACCCATTTTGGCCAGAACTTGCAGCTTTATGCTTCCCTTCTTTTTAACATTTAAATGCACACCCAGGCATCCATCAGAATTTCCAGAAGTTGACACCTTCCATGAAAGCACTGCACAAAAGAATGTGTGGCAGACAGATTCTTCTTACTTTAGCCTCTGCTCCAGTTAAAGTACTGATGAACTCCAACTTCCCATGACAGGGTCTCTTCCAAGGATTTCAGTATCCCTTCCTTCCTCTGAATCTTGTCCTGGTATCCACCTGAAAATTGAAGACAAGATACAAAGACCACAGTTCATTTTGCAGAAGAAATACTTCAGAGCACTTGCTATTTTGTACCTTCAGAATCAAGTTCAAAATGAAGCTGAACTCACTGCACAGAAAGTGAGTGACGCAGCCAGCAACTCACAGGGATTTTCCAAGTCAACAGATGTCGCAATACCTTAAATCTCGTGCAAAATTAAAATTAAGTGGGAAGCACGCTGTGCATTCTGAAGTAAGTGCAGTAATACCACAAATAAAGAGCGGCATGGGATGCATGAGTACAAAACAATGTAAATCTAGTAGGACCTTCGTCCAAACAATGGACAAGCAGGATGAGGAAAATTCAGATTGTGTTTAAAGAGGAGTCAGCAGCAATATCAGTGGGGCCAGGGATAACTTAAACAGAAGCCTGTGAGAGCCACGCCTCCTCTCACCTAACTTGAAACTCTGTGCTAGATGCTCTGTTTCATTAAACTCCTTTAATGATCTACAGACAGACAACAGACATCTGGAGACAGTTATGCTGCAGCATCAAGTATTACATACTTCAAGTGCTAACATACCCAGCATATTTTTATGTTTCTGCGCAAGGAACTCCTATCAGAACTAGACAAACTTTATCTAATTACATTTTCTTTCTTTTCACAGCTGACTTCTCACCACCTAGCCTGATAACCCGCTATTAAAAAGATAAAAAGCCAAACTCCCTAATCAAGTGCTTCTAATACCCCACACTGCCTATCTTCAGGAACACAAACCCATACCAGTAGTGGAAGTGCCTTTTGACACGACAGTCTTCCAACTCCAGGGTTCTCTGTACACGTTTTCCTATGACTTCAGACAGAACTCAGCTTCATACCTCAGTTTACTCAATATCTCAGTTTACAGCTATAGCATCTATAAATGGTGCTTAAATCAAGGCTTGATTAAAAGCAATGCTGAGAGCACCCACCTCACTTATCTTGGTTGCTGTGTTCTAAGCTGAATTCAATCTCAATAAGCATCTCTTCCAGCTTACTCACACTCTACAACTTTGCTGTTCACAATATACCACATGAAATCCAAGGGCCAAAACTGCTCTGTTTGCTGAATTAAAGGCTTTTTTTCTTTGGAGAACAGAGAGAAGGACTTGAAAGCAACAAACCACTAGGAGAAACCCAAACACACACGGGCACTTACCATCGACCTTTTGCATGCAAAAAACGTGAGCTGCAAACCTTTGCAGTGCCCTTCCCTCAAGCATTGCCTGGGACTTTTGTTTTCCTGTCGGATGAGAAGCAAAAGGATTAAATCACCCAGTGAGCGCCCTCAGCTCTCAGCCACCGGGACGCCTCGCTGAAGGCAAACTAGGGGCTCCGCCAAGGCACCGCGCCTGCCGCAGCCTCACAGGTGGCCGGCGACGACGGCGGGTCTGTGGAGGCGCGGGGTCGCTCCAGCTCTCACCTGCAGGACGCAGGGGCTCTCCAGCAGGCACTGCTTCAGGTCCTCCCGCACCCCGCCGCAGGCCCGCCCATCCTCCTCCTTCTCCTCGTAGTACTTAGGCATGGCGGAGGGACCGCGCTACATCGCGCTCAAGCGCCGCTACCGGCGACGGGCCGCCATATTGGAGCGCGCGCGGATTTCCGGCCTGAGCGCCCCGCCCGACGGCGGCCGCTACGCGTGCGCGGCGTCGCCGGAAGCGGAACGGGCGGCGGAGCGGGTGGGGTCAGGCGCCGCCGTCCGCCGTCCGCCGTCCGTTCCACGGCGCGATGCTGCCCACCACCTCCGTGGGGGCCCGCAGTCAGGGCAACGGCGCGCTCAGCCCCCGCGATGCGGCGCGGCACACGGCCGGCGCCAAACGGCACAAGTACCTGCGGCGGCTGCTGCACGTGCGGCAGATGGACTTCGAGTTCGCTCTGTGGCAGATGCTGTACCTGTTCACCTCCCCGCAGCGGGTCTACAGGAACTTCCACTACCGGAAGCAGACCAAGGACCAGTGGGCGCGGGACGATCCCGCCTTCCTGGTGCTCCTCAGCGTGTGGCTCTGCGGTGCGTGCCGAGGGAGAGGCGGGGGGAGGCGGGGCTGAGAGCTGCCGCGTAGGGCTGAAGTGAGCCGTGCTGTTCTCCCGGGTGACGGCGATAGGATGAGAAGTAATGGCTTTAGTTTGTGCCAAGGGAGGGTCGGGTTGGATATTAGTACAGGCTGCCCAGGGAGGTGGTGCAGTCACCGTCCCTGCAGGTGTTCAGGAACCGTGGGGATGTGGCTCTGAGGGATGTGGTCAGTCCATGCTGGGGGTGGGCTGCTGGTTCGACTGGGTGATGATCTGAGAGGTCTTTCCCAGCCTTAGAAACTCGCTGAGTCTGCCCATGGCTTCGGTTAACAAGGAGCTTTTACAAAACAGTATTCTATTGCAGCATTGTGTGAATTCAGAGCTGTTGCACTGAAGATCACGAGGTTAAAGATAAAAAGGAAACTGGAGATTTTTTAGCACCAAACTCAGAAAAATAACACTGATTTACAATCTTGTGCTTTCTTTTCCAAAGCTAACTTTAAAAATCTTTCTCTTTTCAGTGTCTACTGTAGGATTTGGATTTGTGCTGGACATGGGGTTTTTTGAAACAATAAAGTTGCTGCTTTGGGTTGTATTCATAGACTGCGTAGGTGTTGGTCTCCTGATAGCAACACTGATGTGGTAAGTAGTTGTAGAATCATGGAATGGTTTGGGTTGGAAAGGACTTTTAAGATCATCTAGTTCCAAACCCTGCTCTAGAGATGCACACCTCCCACTAGACCAGATTGCTCAAAGCCCATTCAGCCTTGCCTTGAATGCTTCCACAGAGGGGCCAGCCACAGCCTCTCTGGGCAACCCGTTCCAGTGTCTCACCACCCTCACAGTAAAGAATTTCTTCCTGATATCTAGTCTAAATCTACCCTCTTCCAGTTTAAACCATTTCCGCTCGGAGTTCAGTGCTACTGTTGGGACAGTGATGGGCTATGCTGACTGTAAGTTTTGGGCCATTGATTGTTAGACTGGATTATTTTAGCTGTCTTTTCCAAACATGACTCTATGAAACGTTGCTTTAAAAAAATCATCTTTTTCTTTACTGGTTCCTGTTAGAAGGTTCATCAGTAGAAAGGCTGTATTCTAGCGAACATTAAAGCTTTTCTCCTTATGCTGGTTGGACTTAAACAATAATTCCAAATCAAGAACTTGGTGATCAGAAAGGAATCTTAATTCTTCTGCCTTGCTTCAAGTCTCTTCCTCCTGCACATGCTTGCCTTTTTTTGCAAAAGTTTCCCCTGTTCACAATGAATCTGAGGGCCTTCTTGCCTCACCCTGCATCCAGTATCTGCCTCCTGATTCTTCTGCTGGCATAAAGAAATTTCAGAGGAAGTTACCCTGAAAGATTCTCTTGTTTGTAAGCACATGGAGTTTGTTCTGCTTCTAAACAGTGTCTATTTTCTGACATCAGCAGACCTTACACTGAATTAAATGTAAGGACTTGAGGTTTGTTCTATAGTCAAAAAACTGGCGACGTTGGTTCTGCAATAGCCAACGTGCAATTGCACTGATAAATTTTGCCACTGAACCATTTAAAGGAAGAGTTATGGCATTTGTTACCTGCAGTGCCTTTCAGCTACCTGTTGAATGCAAATATTGAAGTCAGAGTTTTAACAAAAGTGTTCTGAGGTCAGTTTGGCTTGCATAATTACTAAGTATCTTTCTCTCCCAGAGCAGAAGTACCAGAATTAGGATCTGAGAGTTAGCTTGCTGTCTCATACCAGTGTTTTGTCAGTCAAATTCAGAGCTTCACATTAACCACATTTTCACTTATCTTCGCACCTAGGTTCATTTCTAACAAGTACTTGGTAAAGCAGCAGAACAGAGACTATGATGTGGAGTGGGGATATGCCTTTGACGTTCATCTGAATGCTTTCTATCCACTCCTGGTCATTTTGCATTTTATCCAGCTGTTTTTCATCAACTGTAAGTAAAAGATTTTGTCTTCTCTCCGATGAAGTCATCTATCGCAGCAGCTGAGAGCAATTTTTCTCTTTCAGATGTCATCATACCTAATTCAGTCATTGGATATCTTGTTGGGAACACATTATGGCTGATTGCAATTGGCTATTATATCTATGTGACATTCCTTGGATACAGCGGTAAGTAATGGCAACTTTTTCTGTAGGACTGAAAGAAAAAGCATTATTTTAGTCTGTGTGTCAGTTTGACAAAGATGTACCCAATGCATGTTTTCATAAGGGTAAACAACAGAATTTATATTTTTCACCATAGCAGCTTGTACTTGGAGACCTGTAACATCTCAACTTGTTTGTCTTCTGTAAATCCACTTCAAAACATAGGATAAAAGTTTGTATTGAGGTTAAGTCTGTATTTTTAGGTGACTTTACCTTTTCCACTTAACTCAAGTTCTCTTATATCTGCGATCAGCGCAGGGCTAATAGGACAGCAGAGCAGTACTATTTCTGTCTTTCCTCAAGGCCCTTCTCGATGAAGCACCTGTTTGAAAGAGCACTCCTTTACACGTGCTTCACTTTTGCCTCTTTTTCAGCATTGCCCTTTCTGAAGAACACAGCTATCCTTCTGTATCCGTTTGCTCTCCTCATTGTGCTCTATTTGATCTCATTAGCATGCGGATGGAACTTCACCAAGATGCTTTGTTCCTTTTATAAGTACAGAGTGAAATAAAAACAGGACTTCATTTATCTACTGATTATTTTTGCTTTATCATCTTAGCTGTCTTGATGGCAAAAAAAAACAGTTAAGAACTGATTGTAAATGGTTGTAAATTTCTCTTTATTGTAGATAATTGTGTAAAAAAAAAAAAAAAGTTTGAAGTGTCTTTTTTTTATTAAAATATTTACACCAGTAAACATGTTAGCAATTTTGTTCAAATACTTTTGCAGTACATTCCTACAAACAATTGTACATCTGTAACTTAACTGCAACAAGTCTATGTAGCATAACTCTTACTGCAGCTATTTTGCACATACTGGCATAAGCTCTACATTACATGGGTTTTAAGTGACACCAAAGAGCATTTTGATATAAGAATAATATTGGAACACCTTGCCTTGGGACTGCATGAAAGTAGAAGTGTTGTTAATACTGTTGCAGTGGTAAAGCAACATCTGGCTCCGAGTGGAGAACTGTCCTCTCCTTTTATGAAAGAACTTTAGGTCGTTTTATTGTAATGGTTATTTCAAATATACACAGACAATGCTGGCACACAGAAGTAACATTGATGCAAGGCACGATTACCATGACCCCATACCAGGTTTCCAAATATAGCAGCAAGTTTTTTAATCTAATCTAGAGAAGTCCAATGGGTATTATTACATCCACTATTACAAGTGGGATGTTAATGAAAATGGAAGGAAAGTACGAGTTAATTTGGCCACACAGGCTTATGGCAATGCCTACAGCTGTGAAGTCCACAAGGCAGAATAACCTGACCATCACAAACAACACCTTCTGGAAAATGAAGATGATGACTTCCCTAAGACTGTGTTCAATATGAAACGTGAGCACTAGGATTCAGTTTCAAAAACAATGCAAGAGTAAACTGCATACAGTAAGACTTTGTATTTCAATACTAGAATTCGATCTCTAAGGAAAAACTATATCTTATCTTAAAATACCAAATATGCTGGCAGTGCATCTTACAGTACTGTGTGTTTCAGCCACTGTTAAGGCTTGAAGAGAATTGTGTTCCCCCCTCAGCAGCCACTGAGCAACGTTCCCCTTTTAACAAGGAAAGCACTGAACCGCTGACACAAGGAAGGCTAAGGATTCCAGGCTGCCCTGGCAAACGAGCTCCCGTCCTGCAGGCAGCTATGGCCTTACTGCACTACGTTCCCTAAAAGGAATCCTAGCACCACTTAAGTTCAACGCTGAAAATTCTTCATATTAGCGCCCTCTGGTACGATACCATTGAAATCAATGAAGGACTTGGGGCCTGTGTACCTTGCCTTCAGAGTTCATCCCCTCAAAACAAGGCTTCATAGTTCTCACAATTAAGCTACTTGAAGTTGTAGCTGCTCACAGTTCACAGCAGAAATCAGCAAAACCCTTAAGAACTAAAACACTCAAAGAATAATTCATTATGTCTGCATGGGGTGTGTTTTTAAATCAGCAATTGGTGCTAGCCTGAAAACACCAGCTGCTTAAAAGCCTTTCAGCATTACACCGGTGACCATAAAGACAGAAAGCATAGGGCTTTTTCTTCCTTCTACTACAGCTCCTTGCCTTCACTAGTTCAGAACACATCCCTCCTTGTAAGGACAAATATAAAACTCAAGGTCGATGTATTGCAGAGGGACAAGGTTTGAAAAATCAGATTTTTCTTTTCCATGAAATTAAAACAATATTCTGCCAAGTTGGAAGCAACCTACAAATTACTACAACACTTCATTTGCAGCAAGCATTTCCAACAACAAAAGAATCCCACTATTGAAATAATACATATTTAAAAAAAAAAGGAAAAATGTTACATTGTCATTTGATTTTGCCAAACACCAACTACACTCCAGCCCATTCAAGGAATGATTTATATTATATGGGTCAAGTGTAATTTGCTTTGCTCTTGACTGACTCAAGATACTTTAAAATAGTTTCTTTCAGAAGAGCTAGAACGTGTGACAGAAGAATGCAGCCTTCCACTGGCCCATGAGTCTGATAGTTAATTTTCCTAAACCTCGTTTTAGTTAAGGAAGAATCAACGTGCCTTTAGGAATATCTTCTATCACTACCAACAAATTGTTAGGATGCTTATGAAAGCACAAGTCTTAAACAGTTATTTTAGAAAAACGTATATTAAAAAAGTGCTAATGGGATTCTGTTCACATTACTTGGTTTTCAGTAGGACTACCCACGAATCGTGCACGGCAAGATTATACCAAGAGTTTTATATTTCCTTGGTCCAGAGCAACCATGATCAGCTCCAAAGAGCTGGTGCTCTGATCAGCTGCTCTGCTTGCATCCAATACATGACACTAAGAATAATTCAACCATAAAAGGATTTTTTCTGTTAATGACTTTGGGTTCAAGTCATCTTTTCTGAAGCAGCTAATAGGGTCTTAGGATAACGGTTTATTTTGAAACATTTGTCATTATTTGTTTACTATAAGATTCACTGACCTACAAGGTAAAAAAAAAAAAGTTAATGTAGGAAAACAACTCTGTCCAAATCAGGTAATTGGTTTAAAATGCTGAGAGGAATCTTGTGGTAATAATTTAACTTATGACACATGTAAGATACACGGCCCATCTGGAACATACCCAGAGTACCTGAGGCAGTGACTGTCGAACCAAGCAGCCAAAGCATTCTTATTTCAGTAGTAATTCCAGGGAGGAGACTTGCACTTCATTAGACCAACTTGAGGATTAGAATTTGGAAGTCTGAAAGCCCAAAATAGCTCTGTAGTGATAATTTCCAAGCAATATTGCAGAACTTCCTGATAGGTCTGAATTTACCTGAATCTACAAAACTTCATTTGTGGCACAATTATTGCAAAAATATACAAGCTGAAGAAGATTGTAAGCATTCAGGGAGCCCAACTCCTGCTGATAGAATGCAATCTTTAAGAAGAAACAAAACCAAAACTTCTTTGCTTTATCAAGCACTAGTTAATTTGTTGCTTTTGATAAATGTCATCTTGATGTTCTTGAGAACTAAATGTACTGGTAACCCCCCAGTTTGGTAGTGAATGTTGTAAGGGATTTATCTAACTACATCTATTGTCAATGATTCATCTTAACAACTGTGAAACATTGGAAACAGCGATGCTTTGACAGGAAGCACATCATCAATAAACGGTACCAATGAATGTAGGAACTCGTGGAAAAAGATAAAAGTTACTATCAACAAAACAACTTATTTTAAGAAACTACAGTACTTTATGTATTTCTGCAATCAAAACCATAGTAAGTAGCTAAAGCCTACCTTGTCTGCCTCATTCATTTGCAGACACAGCTCAGAAGAAAACCTACTTCTTTAGACCTGTGCCAGTTAATGTGTGATACAAAGCCACTGCAGGCTAATACTTTGATGGAATGACACTGTACATACAACAGATTGGAATATGGCAGCACAACAGGCTAGATTCAGGTAAAATTTTGAGCCAACCTTCCTCACTTATTTACAGCAGCTGATATAATCAGGAAAAAAAAGCAAACAAGGTTTGCCTGATAGGTTTCTTATTTTTTCAACTTAAACTTATCCATCTACACAGGGCTTCTGTGTACAAATCATATCTTCCCTGCACCCTCAGACAACATAGCTAAAACAAAATGACTGGTCTGTAGAAGTAGTTCTGCTTACCAACTTGAGTACTGCTGCTCTGGCTAAGCTACAACACAACTGGTCAAGGAGGCAGAAGAAAAGACAAGTTGACTCTGTATCCCAGTGGTAATAGCTCTTAGCTTGCAATGCTGAAGTCAGGTCTAGGCTCCTGCTCCTTAACAGTAGGCCATGAAAAAGAGGCCAAACCTCTTAGAACTTTCCTGCTAGAGACATGAATGCAAGATCTTCACTCTAGAATACAGACCCTGCAGCAGGCTTTGCATGTCTGTGCCCAGACCACAGTGTTGCTGGGGATGAGGGAGCTCCTCCTCATAAGGAAAACTGCACCAGCTTTTGAGACATCCGTTCCAGGAGGCTGCTTTGCAGCACGGCTGAGAATCCCCAGGCCAGGGAGAGGCCTCCCTCCAGCATCAATCAGGCACTTCATTCCTACTGGAGAGGAAATCCTGCTGCTTCTTTCTGACCATCTCCGACCAGGCAACTTAAATCTTCCCACATCTGTGTCACAAGCACCTTCACCTAAGCTGAAGGACTCTTAACAGTGGCAGCATTAGTGCTGCAACAATTCCACTCTGAATTTAATCCAAACCCCTTTTCCTGACAGAGTTTTTAGTTTAAGATCACTGTTGTTTCCTTTGCAACAAAAATGCAGGGCGCTAACTAACTTCTTATTAGGGACCCAATTCACTTTTTATCTTAGTAAGAGCAAGTTCTTACACTGATCACTAAAGGAGTCAATCCAAAACCTTACTTTTGAACAATGGAAGAAAATATAAAAAAACAGAACTACTCACAGTGATGTATCAAAAAAAGAAAAACAAACACTGCAGTAACTCC